CTAAGAAAAAGGAGATTATTCTTCAAATTTAAAATAATTTCATTGTCAGACTAAGACTCTTAGCTGGGAAAAGATTTTTGGTTTGAGTGTAACAAGGAGTAAACTCGTTGAGGCAACTCAAAAATTGCTGGCCAAAAATTTCGGTTTGTCTTGGCCATCCTGCCGCATTCCTTTTGTGGTTATGCAAATGGCCAAGAAGCTGGCCAATAACCAGGACCAAAGCCAAACTAAGCCCAACCAAAAACCGAAGTCGGTTGGCTGACATTGCCCCGGCACTGACACTAATTGCAATTGTGTGCAGCATTAGACCGACTTTCTGCTCCCGTCCTGGTGTAAAAAGGTTTTCGTGTAGCCGAGTCAGCAGACAAGCTCGCTGGTTTAACGCTTTTTTTGTTCCTCGGCCCTAGTCTCTCCTCCTGGCTGGTTTCTTGGCCTTTTTTGCACTCAGCTTGCGCCGGCAGTGGCATAATCAAAACGGACAGGCAACGAATCCTGGCCGAATCTCGAAGTATTCCAATGATATTGGCCAAAGCCATAACATGAAACAGCCCAAGCCCGAAACTCGAGACGTGCTGAACTCGTTTCCGAGACGTGATTGCGATTTCCAGAGAACGTTCGCCTGTCTTGTCAAGTCAAGGTGGATGTTTATGAGGTGGTGGTGCTAGTGGTGGTGCAATATGGCTTGCTTAAACAGAACCATAATCTATAGCAGAAGTAGTATTCCAAAATTTATGTTTTAGTCTTCCAATAGAAATATTTTCATTACCTTTTATATTTTTAAAATACTTTAAAATTGAATAAAACCCTAAAAGTGATTGACAAATATTTTAGCCATGAGGAAACAACTTCGGAAACATTTTCATCTGCCAATTCCGGTTCTGTTTGCCTTGGGTAATCTTCTGGCTAATGCGCATTATTGTCAAATGACATCGACGGCCTGGAGAGTTGGTGTTGCAGATGCATTTGCATGCCACACACCTGATAGCACCACTGCTATGCCACTCTTGGAGAAAGCATCTTTTTTATTCAAATTGAAATGTCTTTTCAACGGGTTTGCTTTCCACTTCAGCGGTCCATGACACATGAGTGCTGTTTGTCTTCGTCGTCGGCGACTTTTTGGCCAAGGACTCCAAAAATAATCAAAAAACGGATTCGAAGGACCTCAGATACAGACTGTGGGATACCGTTAATGCAATATTTTTATATTCGTTTTAAGCTCGATTTTGTTGGATTTTGTGCCTATCTTTAGAATCATTTCTGAATTATTTAGTATTGAAGTTTATTAAAACTGAAGGGTAAAAATAATAATAATAATAAGATATTTCAAGATCTATTCGACTTTTGATTACCCTGCTAATACCTCTTAAATTCCGCGATTGTATGGAATGGCAAAGGTTTATTACGTGCGGTGCATGCAACTGAACAAAAGTCACGTGCCGGGCACACCTGTGTGTGCGTGTGTTCCATAAAAGGGGGGGAGGTGTGCTTGAAATTTCAGGCTGGAGATTGCATTTGGCAAACCCCTCGGTTAGAGGAGTGGGTGGTAGCAAGGAATGTTGTACATGGTGGAACGTGCCTCTCACAGGTGCAGCAAACTGTGCCAAGTTGACAAGGCGTTGTTGGCCCTCGTGTTTTGTCTATGCGTGCCCACGTTGCGTATGCGCAATTTGATGGCCTTGCCACCCACGAAACTGACTGCCTGGCTACCTGCCTGCCATTCCGCATTTCCCCACTCCTATTTCCCACTCGCCAAAAAGGCAGCTCTCTGGCTTTATATGAATTCTTTTTATTCCATCTAGGAAAAACACAGAAAATGCGGGCCAGAGGGGCTGCGAGAGAGACATTTCCAATAATTTCATTTGGGGATTTTCGCACGTTATAAAACACTCAACGGTCGGAGGAGAAGTCGCCTCGATGACAACATGACGCATTGGGAGTTTATTTTTCCAAAAATATATATGTACATATATATTCTCCTCCATGTCTATTTTTTCCCATTTTTCTCTTTCAATTTTTGGGTGTTTTTATTTTTTTGAGTTTTGTATTTTTTTTTTTGTAGCTCCTGGCATAAATCAATCAAATGCAGGCACAACACGCAATGCACACACACAGCAAAAACCCGAGAGCGAAATAAACAAACCGAGTCGGCAAACATAGATATATGTTTGCTTCTAGATCCATATACATATATGTATATGTATCTATATATCTAGGATGAAGAAGCAGGCAAGAAAGAGACAGCTTAGTTAGAGAAGAACGAGACACATACTCGTACATGCATGAATCGAATGACATTGGCAGCGCTTTCAAGAATCCATGCAAACATTTTCAATTAAAAAATTGCCCTGCCATTTGTCAGCTGCTGTTTCCCATTCTTTCCTCAACTTCCGCCCCTATTTCTGTTGGTGCTCTCCGCCTTCCATTTTCTTCTTCGGATGGCTTCGCTATCAATTGCTTATCAATCACAATCACAGTCATGAGACAGCGTCGTCTTTTCCTCGAATTCGCATTCATATCCGTCTCAATGCATCTGCAGCTGTCGTACAGTGCGTGTCAAACTACAGGCCATCGAAATGTTTTCTTATTTGGGTTAAGGATTGTGCGGAAAATTAGGACGTGATGTCTGATTTCCAACTAATTTTGACAGTTGGCGGAAACAGAGATTTCAACAGCACTACAGGTGTACTTCTAGAGCGAAAAAATATTCTGATATTTGTATAAAAGCAGATTCTGAAGATGAGAGACAGTTATTATTTAAATAAACTTATCAGAAATAACCCTACTAAAAAAAAAATATAAATAAGTATGTAATTTTAAAAAGTTTTTCATGAAATGATCTTTAATAATAACCCTACTTTAAAGACAGAAAATCACACTTGTCGTAAAAAATGTCATTTAAAATAACCATGTTAATTGGTTAGCATTTCTTATACAAAATCTATTAAAAATGCTACAAATTATACAATTTCCAATTGCATAACCCATTCTGATTGCCAATTAGTCAAAGCAAATAGTTGCTTTTAACAAATTCCATCAAAATTAGCCTACCAAGGCAGCAACACAATTTTGGGTCTCGAAATTGCAATGGCCCGCAGGCCGAACAATGACTGTCAAACTGTGTTCTGGCCATTTGCCATGCCATCCATATGAGCCTTTCGTGTGCCGCCCGCAGGCATTTCAAATTTCGAAGCCAACTGAAAGCCCGGAATGCCGCTGCAAATTCAATTGTTCTTGTCGAACATCTCACCAATCGCTGGGCAAAGTTTGTTGATGCGGCTTTTACTGCTTCAGAAGCATGCGGCTCCTGCGGCGCCTCCCCTTTTGCCATTCCCTTCCAGCATACTCCGCCCCATTTGCAGCTGAATGCACCTTGGAGGCTTCACTTTTGACCCCGCAGGAGGGTAGTAGCCAGAAACTGTTCGGCCTGGTGGTGGTGTTGCCTGCTGCCAGTGGCCCGGACTGACTTGCTGCTAATGGATTTTAAATGAGCATCATAAATAGCAGCAGCAGGACCTGGAGTCCTGGCACACGCCGAAAAATTGCATCGACCACGCCTGCCGCAGCCATAAAAGGAGTTCTACTTTCTGAGGGCTACCATGCCCCATTCTCCTTCCCTAGAACCACTTGGCTGTTGTCATTTATTCTTATTCAGTTTGTTGGCTGTGGTTTGTTCGGGCTGTTTCTTTGTATTTTTTATGTCAGCAAAAGAGTACCCTATATGAGAATATAAAAACTATACCTTTTAATAAAGTAAAAGTATTTATTAAGGAGGTTATACAAGTGGGCTTAACTTGTAGACAATCTAAGGGATTCTTTCAGTCATACCCCTAACTAATAAGTATTTTTCTAGCCTTTACAGAACTAGCCTTTTCTTCTTTTCTTAACTTGACGTTCATTTCTTTCGTCTTTTTTTTGCGAAATGAAAAAGACTATAAATATTTGTTACGTTGACGACGCCAAGGGAGAAACACGCAATCATACACACACCATATATATTTATAAGAGACATTTATATATAAACACATATGAGCTGTTCTTGTTGTCTGCTTTTGCGGCTACAAATCCGGCGTGTATAAAAATGACTGCAATTTATGTTTTCCTATGAATATATTTGTGGCAAGCTCAGCTTGCCTCTTCTGCCTCATCCTGGGCCACAACCACCAATATTTTTTCGCCTTTTATTGCTTGTAGTAGTTGCCGTAGTTTGTTACATTATTTGATTGCATAAATTTTATGCAGATTCCGTAACATGTCATTGCTAGTGATTTTTATTAAATGCAGTGTGAACGCGCGGTGACAAGTAGATTGCGCATACGCCGCGTTGTCCGCTTTGGTCGCTCTGTCCTCTGCCTTAAATGTGTCCCGAAAATTTAATATCCGCATCAAATGTGTTATGATGTTGGGGATCTAGTGGGGGGAATAGTGGGGCTTGGTTGCCAACTAATATGACAAGTTGATGCTCCGGTCCGGTCGGGCTGCAGCTGATTTCAGTTGTTGTGGCCCAATAACTAACAATCAAGTGGCATTGTGTGGGGGGGCGTTTGCCTCTGGGTGGCAGACACTTTATGTGTCTCGTGTCATGTGTTTGGCTTTTCGGTCACGTTGATCAGGCGACAACAAACGGTGCTGAATTGGCGACATATGTTCTCATAAGGCTCTTGCCAAACTTTAATTGCAAAAACCAAGAAAAAAATATGCCACAAGTGAAGAATGAGAATCGGAAATAAGTTTGTTTGTTAGGTCAGCGGTTGACCAAGTTTTTGAGGTCAAGGAATAAACGGCTTTTAAATGAAGTGAAGGTGTCGTAATTATTCAAGGCTTTGCCGGGTTTCTTTTCAAACTTAAAGTTATTAAGGAAACTTACCAAATTAAATATGAATATCAGGATAATGATAATTTTTTCAGTTCATATAATCTTTTTTTTACAAACTTGTCTAATCAAATTGTAGAGAATGTGTAAAAAGCCCAATGCCCCAAAAAAATGTGTTCAATGCCCTCGACTACTTACAGTTGACATTCAGAGAGACACTGGTCTCCAGGGTATGACCCTCGGGCATGGCTCGGTTCCAGACAACGCACTTGTACTTGGCGCCATCGTCGGCCCGTCGGGGCACAATCTGCAGGGTGGCATTCGTATAGTGGTTCTTCGATCCGCCCTTCAGGGCGTACGACTGCAGTGGCACGGTGCTGCCCTCGCGGTACCAGCTGCAAAAAATACGAGAGCGATGGCCACGATTTAGTGCCAAAAACAGAGGAAATAGAGAAATGGTAACAGTTACAAAAGCATTATTAATGAAGGCAACCGCCCGTTAAGTGATTTACTTGGCCACAAACCCAAAAGGAGAAGTAACAAAAAATGTTCAAGAGTTTTAACTTTAAAGGAATACTTTTGAAAGGGTAAAACTTAAATTCTGGGATATATTGTCATAAAATATGAATATGTGGATATTCTTACGTTATCATAGGATCTGGGGAGCCACCGATACTGCTGCATGTCAACTCCAGTGGCTTCTCCTCGGTGGCCACCGCCAAGTTTCCGGGAGTGACCATCGGCGGGTGGGGAGCCGTCAGCACTGTCAGATTGTAGAACTCCTGATGGACATCCGCCCCGGTGCCCTTTGCCTTTATCCGGCACTCGAAACGTCCATTATCCCGATTGTAGGAGGTGTTTTTGATTTGCAGATCGTAAATACCACGACTCGGCCGAAAGTCCAAACTGGAATGGAGAGAATCAAAAGGAAAGTAAATGGTTTGTTCTGACCAAAGGGACTGCTGACTACTGACTGCCAGCGATTTATTAAGTACAAGGCCGTGGGGAAAACTTTTACTTTATGCAAATTAACTGCCTGTATATATTTTTTGTTGATTTACAGGCAGCTGAACATACAAAAGGCCCACATACACATATATTTATTTATTTCAATATTTATTTATCTTTATATAAATGTGAGCTTTCATTGGAATTACTGTAGGCTCTGTTGGTTACACTACCTATGCTTTTGATATCAAAAAATTAAGAGAAATTGTAATTGAAAACATGAAGAGGATGATTAGTCAGTAACTCAAAATAAATAACTTTCTTAAGGACTTGCCAAACCCATAGAAGAGCATCGTGCAGTTAGTAATGCTTTTAAGGATTCCGGAAAATAAATTCCTGTTCACTTGTTTTCGTTAAGTAGCTTTTCCTACTCCGCCCGCCAAACTCCTCTCATCTTGTTGTTCATTTTCATTTTCATTTTCATTCATTCGGTAGCCTTCTGTTTTCCGTGTTTTCGCTTCTGTATGGCCGTGTATTTGTTGGGTTTTCCCTTGAATCCATTTTGGCGGGGCTTAAAAGCCATGTTCCCAAGTCCGGTGCGAAATAAAATGAAAAATGCTCATGGCAAATTAAGCGTCGAACTCATTTTTGTAAATTTATTAGCCCAATTCTGGGACCGGACTCGGCTGCCCGGGGGTCCTGGTCTTGGTCCTGGTCCTGTCTTGGGCAAAACATTTTTATTAATTTAAGATGGCTGCAGTGGTACCTTGATGGCGGAAAGAGAATAAGGATAAGGACGAGGATGAGGATGAGGGTGAGGAATAAGGATGTTGGCCGGATGGCGGATTGACTTTCTAAGACCAAATGGAAAAACTCAATCAAGCATAATGGCTGCAAAACTGTTGCATATTGCCGCGGCGGATATTTCATTTCATATTCTACTTTTTTTGGTGGATAGACTTTAGTATTAAGGGTATATTAAGGCTCTTGGATTTTATATAAAAATAAAACTATATTTGTAACAGTTCACAGTACATTTTAAGTCATATTTCTCTCACTAAATTATAGGGTATCATATAGTCTTTTAACTTTCTTCTATATATCCTTGATCTCTACTTATCTTTCCTCTTTCACTTGTTTTTTAATAATTGTTGGGAAGAAAAAGCACTAGGATGGAAGACTCCTTTCCGGCAGCTGCCTAGGCCTGGCTTTTGTGTTTAAGTTTTAATTTCTGATGATGAGATTTTTCGCCAACTGGTGATGGGGATATGGTGGGCGGCTGCCGAGCCAGAGGCGTGGCAGAAATCAAGCACTCGACAATATTAAAGTGGATCTTATAAACTTCTTCAGCGGCCGTGCTGTGGGATGCAAAGTTCTTTTCGGGCTCACAGAATAAAAAATGTAAAAAAATTTCAATTTTGATAACTTTCTAGAAGATGTATATGTATGTATTATGTGTGGTTAAAAAAAGAGTAGTTGGGGAAAGGATAAAGAAGAAAGCTGGGAGGAAACGGTTGCATTTTGTAGCACTGGCAGAGATTTCATTTGGGTTTTCCCATTTTTTTCCTGCCGCTGCTACCGCTTTTGCCATTGCATTTCCGGTAGCGACTTTTACGAGGCAGGCTGTCTTGAAAGGATACTTGAGAGGGGCAGAGAAAGGATATGGGAGTAGGAGACGGGGGGCGTTGAAAAGGAGTCGTATATGTGGAGTGCGGCTCAAGCGAAGCACATAATTGCCTCTGCCAGGAGGCCTTTCTTTTTCTCTCTCTCTCCATCTGGCAGCGATGTCCTTGCAGCCTCGAAAAGAAGGAATTTCTAATGTGTACGTAAGTGCCTCCCCATCCTCCCCCACCCGCCGCCACCCGGCCAGCATCTACCCTTCTTGGTCCTACTCCTTGTTCTTCTGCTTTCGGTTATTATGTTGCATCGTCGCAGGACTTATGCAAAACAGTCGCAGAATTGTTATGCAAATTGTTGCCAATTACACGACACAGCCTATTTGCCTCAACGAGTCCAACGAGATGGCCCACACACACAAAGGCATCCACATGTAGGCCCACAATTACGTGAAAAGTATTGAACAATTACCCTGACCTACTTGTCTCTGGAATTGGGAATGGCTATTTTGAGTGGATGGAGTTTATTAATAAAGACAGAAAATAATATCTCTTATGATGTATGAAGTATGAAGTTTTCCCTCTAATTGGGTATAATTTTTCAGAATTCAATATCACAGTAGCATCTTTGGAAAAGTCATGGACACTTTTCACAAAAAAGAAAATTCAGGTAACAGAGCCATTGGCCAGCTCAATGCTTCAACTTTCACCAAACTATCAATCGACCAAGAAGGAATAAATAAAGGATAATCTAGGGAAGGCGAAGGCGGAGTCCTGTGGCAGGATAAATGGCTTGTTAACGGTAACTAAAGCTCACTTTATAGTTGCCTCATTGAAGAGGGAGGCGTGGGGTGATTATGTTATTATCGGTTTAGTATCGAAGTCTTATGGCTCGTTTTCTTCGTTACCCCGTCTCATGTCTCATGTAATTCAATTTGCCGAGACATCCTTCGGCGCCTTCACCGCCATCGCTTCCTTTGACTTTCTCCGCTTTCTTTCTGCTGTCCACAGTCTCGCATGCCAAGGAGTCGTCCCGAGAAAGTAATAAACTTTCATCCCGCTTTCTTAGTTATCGGAAAAGTTGAGGCACTCGGAAAAACAAATCACATATAAAGTGTGGTGTTGAACAATGAAAGATTTAGTTCAAGATTTATAAGATTATTGAAATTAATAAAAATATTATTTTATAATCTGTTGAAAAATAAAGCATAATTATTTCTCTTAATTTTGATAAATTTATAATTCAATTAAATTTAAGAAGTTAAATTTTTTCGAGTGACTCTTTAAGAAATGGAACTGAAACTGAGGAAGCCGATGAGGGGAAAAAAATGTAAACGCGCCAAATTTGACGCGTGGCAAGGATGCGATGGGTTGCTTCCCCTCCACCCCCTCGGTTCAGTTCCTCCAACACATTATCCGCCCCCCTGGCACCCACCAGCACCCCTCAACGATGTGCGTTATGTGCGGATAATTGACTTTTAAAATGTGTGTGCGATATCACAACAACAGCAACAGAAAAGCAGAAACAATGGATGAGGGGGCGGTGTGGCGGGAAAAGTGGGTATCCTGACGTATAATTAAACGGCATATTGTCACGCATCCCTGAAACTGAAAGGAAGAAAAAAAGGACAATGGCTGGCGAAAGAGAAAGTAGCTGGGAGTGTAAAGTGTGAGGGAGACAAGAAGGATGCAGGACCTTCCCCACTGTGTTGTGACCATTAAACGCTTGTCCTTGCTTACTGTTTCGCATTCTGCTTTTGTTTGTTATTGTTTGGACTTTTACTTTCACTTTCTACTTTGTCTTCGTGGGAAAATAAATAAGGTGGCTCAGCACAGAAACTACTATTAGTTACTAGATTAGTAGCAGAACGGATATCCTGGTGACTAAGTGGATTTTAAGGATTAATAAAAATACTTTTAAGAAGGAAAACTTAATAAGAGAAAACTTCTTAATCAATTTCTTAAGTATTTCAGTTCATAGCTTAACTGCGGTTGCTGCTGTTATAGCACTCGACAATTTTAGTGACTCGGTAATCCCCTAAGAGCACTATAACTCTCTGAATTTGTCAACTTTTTAACAAGTTGGCCGGCAAAAAAAAAAAGTCAGTATAAATAAATGAAAACAGCCCAACAAATCAGCGAACAACTGAACTGAGTTTACAAGCCCCCCTCGTCCACTCTGGCGGAACGTTCATCAAGTTATTCACACAATCTCCGTCAAATGACGGACGGGAGTCACCCATTGACCCCCCTTGAAGCCACAAAGCCGCTCTACCACACCCCTCAAACGACCCTCCCGCCCACGCCACCAGCCAAACTGGCCCCAACTGGCAGTGCCAGTGACTTATTTATGCAAATGGCCATAACAAATGAGGCGCATACACTCGACGCTCTCTCTCTCGGCCTCCCCTCCCCATTTCCCCATTTCTGGGTGGGTGAGGGTCTGGCTTAAGGAGGCGTTGGGTAATTGTGGGAGGGGCAACCGCACAGTGGAAACGATTAATTTGGTGCCCAGTGCAGCTCCAAAACTCAAACGCTGTCCAAGCCTTTCCAAAAGGGATGCCCACAGGGGTGAATGGCAGAGTTAGGAGGGAAGGGGGTGCTAGTGTCCAATGTTGCAACGTATGTCTCAATCGTGCACCATGGCAGCTCATCAGTGGCTGCCGGAGGGGTATTACTGTACAGTGGGACGGGCTCATTATTGAAACATGTTGCTAACATTTGTTATGCAAAGGCGACATCCATGCTAAATGTGACTGCAAGGGAGGTCCACAAAGGGGGGGGAGGACATTTAGATCCTAGGGGTAAGAGGTCCTTGGAGTTGTGTTTAGGATATACAATTGGTATCCATCAAGCTTATTGGCTGGCATGCATATTTTAAAAGCATTCCGGCTTATTCTAATCATAACCATTCTAGAAATCATAATAATGTCTCTTCTTAAGCTTTAATTTTAAACATTAAAATCTTAAAAACTATAAAAATTTATTTCTTAAAACTTGAAACTTTTCCACAGTTGTTGCATGCCCCCTCTATGTGTGGCATATTGACGCTAACTCTTGCACGAAATTTCTATAAATGCCTGGCAACCTGCCACGAATCCATTGCCACGCCCCTCTTTCATGTCGCGCCTTTAACCAGCCAGTGTTGTCATGTCCACCTCGGCAGCTACTAGCCCCTCACCTGGCCGCTTATTGCCAATTTGATGCTGTCTATCTGCATCTGTGTGTGCTAGTATCTGTGTTGACTTTATCTGCTGTCCAAACGAAAGAGCACGGATTGGATACTCATCCTGGATGGCAGGTACACAGAGAGAAATAATATTCTAAAAAATTTAAAGGTCT